TATATATGTTTTATACACTTTGTAATTAAAATTAAAACACTACAAAAATTATTATAAAAATCTAATATACCAAAATATTGCATTATATATTATAATTATATATCCACGCGCGTATATCAGAAATTATTTTATAATCATGTTTATTTTAATAGAACATCAAACAATCTGACCTGTGACCCATACAGTATGGTAGATGTTAAATTATATTTTTACACAATTAATTGACTATTTATTGATTGACGATTACATCTACTATATAATTAAATGAACGTTAATTTACAAGTGATCAGAAAATGTTTTCATATAAGAATTGCAGAAATTTTAATTTATGAAAAGAAGCGTAAAATATTTTTTAAGTTCCTTTATATACTTTTCTAAATGTGAAAATATAAATATTGTTATGATACGTGATATTCACAATCTTTGTTATAAACACTGCAATAACTTTATTTTGAAAATTTTATCAGTCACTGATTAATATCTATAACTATTTACGTAAGACTTAATCTTTCCAAAAATGTTTTAATTCAAATTTATCTAAAAGTATGTTTTTTTTTATATTATAAAATTTATTCTATAAATAGTATAAATGATTTAAAAAATAGACTATTTGCACGACTAAGGATTTCATATATCCTTAATTCTTTTGGCCTTATCAAGCAATGCACTGTGCACATTTCGCGATTTTCATTTTCACGAGCTAAATCTTTATTATTTGAATGACAAAGAAATGAATATAATAATAAAAAATTCTCTTTTCATAAGTAATAGGTCTATGGATTGTAAGTTAACGCTTACAATGACATTTGAAACTCGAATTCTTTTTTCTTTTGAAATTTGATTAAATCATTGAAAATTATATGATCTTTGGCATTTATAGGATTTATATAGTTGAAGCGATTTTAAGATAGGATAATGGAAAGTAAGATTTAGAATTTGGTGTCGTGTAGGATTTATAAGAAATTATTATTTACACGCATATGTTGTTTGGTCTTATAAATTATTATTAAA